TTTCTGTCTTCGATGCATCCAACTGATTCAGCATGAGGGATTCACCAGGATCCTAAACAGACGAGGAAACTACTGGGATAGTGTTCCAAATCGCCTGGTTGACTCTTGGGATAAGAACCCATTATCCTCTGCCAAGTGTTGGACCATTACATATATTGCATCAACTGGGAACATTGATTGCAAGGGCACAACTTCCAGGGACTTTGCAAACTTCGAGGTCATGCAGTGACTTTGACAGACTTTGCCATATCGTCACTGCTATGACGGCCTGATCAAAGCCAGGACCTCAAAGCAATGCCATGTGAAAATCAAGTTGTCACGCGACCGAGTGTCATCGGTTTTGGGGGAACTCTTCATGGATAAGTACAGATGAAGTCACTTCCATTTGTAGCCAATCCATCAGCATGGGAACATTCCTAATGTAGACCCTTGATCAATAAAACCCTCCCCATTATTGAACACATCTCTTTGTGTGTGGGGGGGGGGTTTCTGATTCCTCAATTCTTTCATAAAACCTCTTCTTATAGGGGGTTTATCAAAGAAACAACCTCTTCGAGTCTGCATTCTTCTTCCTCCCTCAGGCAGACCTCGAAGTGATCTCGATCTGCGTCGCTAAGCTGCTCGGCTGCTTCTTCTCGCCGCCGGAGCGAGCGGACGACAGCCTGGTGAAGATGGGGGGTGGAGCCGGGTGTCCAAAAATGGAAGGGGTTTGCAAAAGGGATAGACCAAACGAAACTGACATCTATCATACATCTATCTATTGTAGGCCCCCCCCCCAAAAAATGGGGTGTGGCTTCCGACCGCGGGGAGAGCTGTTAAAAGCCATTTCCAGTGTGTGAGCAATGGCACTGAGATTTGCTTGGGCGTTCTTGTGGGTGTCGTCCTTTCCTTCTGCAAGGGCAGAGGTTCGGTCTTTTGCTTTGCCAGACTTCCCCATCGTCTATGTGATTTACACCCCTGGTGGTGTTCCTCAGGCTCGTGCAGTGGTAGCACCTTCAGAACCATGTCCCAAGCTGAAGGCACTGGCTGGTGCTCAAGGTCTGTTGAAGGAGTCTGGCAATGTGAGCCTCCGGGCGGTTGGTAGTCAACACATGCCCCACCGATTTCCGGTGAAGGTTTGCCAAGTGCAGCTGCCGACGAACGTCCCTGCAGGCACCCTGGTTTTCGGACGCCCCCTCCCCAGAATCTCCGCACAACCCATCAAGACGTTGCTGCTGGGTGATACTGGCTTGCGGGTCAAGGCGAAGAATGATGGTACATGCCTTCACCCTGGACCTAAGAAACTTTACGGCATCAAGCAGTGCCAAGCAAGCGCCATCATCCCCTTCAATGCAAGCCTAGTGTCCGGAAGCTTCCAAAACCTTTCGGAATGGCACCTGAAGGCCCAGATGGATGCGGCTGCCAGCGACAAGCCAGACCTTGTCGTCCATGTTGGGGACTACTTCTATCGGCAGGGTCCTTGTCCACAGAATAAGCCATGCACAGCCATCAACAATGCGAGCTTTCCCCATTTGCCTGGTGCTTGGGGTGACAACTGGAACGGTTGGTATGCCGACTTCTTTGCTCCGAGCCTCAGCCTTTTGTCCAAAGCTCCATGGATCGTGCTGCGTGGCAATCATGAACGCTGTGACCGGGGAGGTGGTGGCTATTTCCTGTTTCTGGACCCCAGAAATTATCCAAACACGGTGGCCGGTGGTGAATTCTGTGTGGACTACACAGACCCATACACGGTGCCCTTTGCCAAGGAGCAGTTTTTGGTCATGGACACTGCCATGGTGGATGATGTGGACGTCGATGATGTGTGTCCCACTGGTGCACTTGAGCAGTTCCAGATCTTCCCTTCCAACCGCTTGGAGGACCCCGATCAGGACATGACGCGAGAAGAGATTCTGGAACAAGTTGAGCGGTACCGCCAGCAGTTCAAAGAGATGGCGGAGATGAAGCAGTTGGGTCTCAGCAACTTTTTGCTCAGTCACCATCCCATGTTTGGCTTCAAGTGCAACCAGGGTGCCTATGAGTCGGCTGAATGGACTCTTCAACAGGCGCTGGGAAGGAACACGTTGGAGGGCATCTCAGCGACGATTCATGGGCATTTTCATTTCTTCCAGCTTACTCAGTTAGCTGGTCTTCCACCACACTTCATTGTGGGCAATGGTGGCACCATGCTGAGGAGGTATGACAGCTTGGCTCAGGGAGCTACTGGGATGGACATGGTGCTGCCTTGGACGACTGTGAAGGTCAGGGATGCTTTTACCAAGAGTGTTTTTGGCTACAGCTCCTTGCTTGGACGTGACAACTACATCTTCACCGCTTTCCAACGAAACCAGAAAGGCCAGGAGCAAAGTATGTGGAATACCAGCTTTACGCGTGCCCAGATGGGCCGCAGCTTAAGGGAGGCGGCTGCCTCCCAGGCGGCTCCTCCCATCTTCGTTTAGGAGCTGCCATCGAGCAAGGCAGTCCAACCTTCCAAGACCGATCGCGCAGGTCATGCCTTGAGGTCAGAGAGTACTTCTATGAAGGTCTCCCCTTTCTACAGAAGGGTTTACCTCTCCATGACTGTGAGACGCCGGAAGTGAGCCATTTCGCAGCAGATGCCCTTGGTGTATAGATTCCACTGCAGCTCCAGCCGTTTCTCAAACGTTTGAATGCAGCAGATGGGCCTGTCGGGGCCAATTGCAAGTCTCAATTAGCGCAATGCCGCTGGACATGTGAGCTGTACGTTGGATAGCCAAGGGATTGACCCATGGCCAGGTATAGTTCATAAAATGTCCGACAGAAGAGGAAGGCGGGAGGGGACCGGGCGAACGCCAGCACATGGGCCCCTCCATCCGGCTTGAGCTGATTGATAGGTTGTGGGTCATGGGGAGAGAGAGAGAGAGCCCTAATCTCTGGTAGTCTGTTCTGTTCATTTGGGGTGGTCAACCGGTCGCCATAGATCTTTGAAAGCCAAGATTCTCCATCATGTCTCAAGCACAAACCCATCACGCTTCGAACAGTGAAAGACCATGACCCAATCTACAGCACCTCAGTGGCGAGCCAGGCAGGCGAGGTGGCCGAGAGCTGCCGGCCGGCCAGTTTTGGATTGCAAAGTGCAACATCATTGGCCATACCTTGGGAATTTATTCCGGGGTGTACCGGTATGCTAGGAAGGTCTCAGGAATATTTGTTTGTTATTCCTGCCGGTATTGAGGGTACCGGTATGCTAGGGCATGGGCTACGCAAAATCCTTGGCCACCATCAAATGAATCTAATATGGTAGACTCTTGATTGATACATAGCACGCCGCGTTGGATTGAAACGCCTCGGCACAGGGGGATGTTATCAATGAATCAAGAGTCTACAGTCTACATTGTGCTGTGGCAGTTTGCATGAGCCTCCTGAGTTGGCCAAGATTGCATCCAGTTCGGTCGTGGAGCAGAGTTGAGATAGGATTCACACGAAGCTGTAGAATGAAGTGCTACAAACAATCAACGGGTTTGGGTGCTTGATATTCGCTTTACTGAAGTATACTTGCTTTACATGGTACATTTTACTGTGAATACACAGTGACGTCGTAAGGTGAATCAAACTAAGTTTGGACCCAGGATCGCACTTGGCATCCATGCTCACCTGAGGCTTGGGATGGAATCGGTCTGCGGCTTTTCCTGCACTTGCGCCTCACAGATGCAGTGGCCTCAACAAGGCATGGCCTCACTGGCTGTGCAAGTCAAGCCATCCAAGGCAAGAATCAGATGCAGAATGATGCAGATGTACAGCAGATTGACAAAAGAAAACTGTACTGGATTTGTTGGGCAACTATGACCAAGAGTCTCTTGCATGCAGTTTCCTTGTTTCGGTTGATGGCTTAAGTGTGCCCGCTCCAAGGAATGAGCTGCATGGCATGGATCAACTCTGCTTGGACAAGCCCCGTGCCGAGCAATGCCGAATCATCGGTGGATCCTGCCTTCTGACATTGTACCAAAACCCCCCTATGAACCGGAATGTCGAGCATCCGGAAGGTCGAGCATGACATTGTCATAGGGGTTTGTGTTCATAGGGATGCACCCTTCTGACATGGTCCAAACATCATGACATGTTTGCATCCGGAATGCCGAGCAGCTGAAACTGCAGACCATGGGCCATTGTACACGACTTTGAGAAGACGATGGTGACCATTATGATGTCTTTGACAGCGTCCTTCCCACATACGGATTGGAGACCTTAACATACCTTAACAATTCGGGTGTCAAAAGAAGTTATATATACTGTATATAGATGGAAGAATGTGATGAGCTAGACTAGGGCGCTATGAAGTAACAAGAAGCTACTAGGTGGAGGCCATCGCTATTAGGTTGGCGGCCATCGCTGCTAGTAGCAAGAAACTACTAGGTGGAGGCCATCGCTATCAGGTTTGAGGCCATCGCTACTAGTAGCTAGAAAATTGTTTTGTGTTTTGAGTTCCCCTTTGGGCATTCTTCTTCAGTCCCCTTCTTCAGGTCAACTGAAAGCCATGCACATGTCGCTGGGCGAGGCTGGGGTGAAAGAACCATTTCCGGACACTCAATCATATGAGTTCCAGGGAGAGTACCTTTGACATAGATCATTGGCTTTGAGCTGTGCCAGCTGTGCCAGCTGTGGATGGGGCGTCCATGTGTTTGTCCTGCGCATGCAGCTCCATCAGTAGGACTTTCGGACTTTTGTGCCAGCAGTCCGGATACAAGGAGAACATCGCGGGTTGGCCTCCCTGAAATGAATGGAACCTATGAGTCGGTATATGAGTATACTATAGTATACTTTGCTGTATGAGTTGGTGTATGAGTCAGTTGGTTTGCCTCCCTGTCGGTGTACTTGTTGATTTTTGCTGATCACTAGCACAAACTAATTGAATCCGTGTTTATTGTGTCGAGGTTGAAGGTTCAGAGAGACATGCTTTTGCTGGTGTGTATGTGAAGTGCCCAAATCTCGCTAAATCAGCCAAGCAGAAGTGGTTCGCCTCTTCCTGTGCCTCTTCGACTTCCTTCAGCTGAGATCGGTTCAGTCAGTTCTCGGCCTCTCATCGGTGCCATGGCGCCCTACAATGCGAATGAGGAAGTGGCGCCTCCCTTCCAGACCGTCTACTTCTCCGATGTCCCCTGGTGAGTCACCGTCGAGCGTCCTGAAGCCGGAAACCGCCGGAAACCGCCGGGGCCGGACCAAGCGAGGGGGGCAGAAGCCGCCGAGGGAGCCAGTGCCTGAAACTACCCCAATGTAGGCATATATGGCAGTCCCATGGAGTGTCCGGGAGTTGAAATCTACAGTTGGTGCAGACTCCATGAGGCGACCGGGTGCTAGTTAAACAGTGCTGAAGGCGCACTGTAGTGCGCCTGAGGCACGAGAAAGAGCGCAAAGAGAGGATCTTAGGAATTCTTCAGGGGACTTAGGGCGGAGGCTACATTAATTGCTATGTGATATGATAACATAACAGGCCCCTGAAACACAGACGTGCACAGAATTCTCAGCTGGCCTTTTGTCTTATTCTTTTCGCGGCGCGAAACATGGGCGCGTGCAGAACACCGCGGTGCTTTCCAAGGAGTTCATGAGCAAGTATGAGCCCTTAGCCACAGCCAACCGGAGGCTGAAAGAGGACAAGAATGATGCCGAAGCTCAGAAGATCTATGACGAGCACTTCCCCCTCTACAAGAACTATGAGCCTTGGACGGCGAAACGGTTAAAGCAAAGCCATGCGACAAAGCAGCGGCTAGTTCCTTTCATGAAGACTTTGTATCTCACAGCACTTGACCTTGCGTTGGTAGGATTGGTGCAGCACATGGGATGGCAACAAGTATGACCTTGTCTTCTATGGCGTCTCGGGCTACACGGGCTACTTGATGATGGAGTGCCGCGCGTACACCGCGCGCGCTTCACCCCGTCTCACCGCGGTGTGACTCTCACCTTGGTGTCTTGACCGTGTTGTTTTCCTGTTCTTTGTACTGATCACTTGGTATTCTTATAGTCACGCTTGGCTTGATTCTATTGTTTGGATAAAGTGGTTCGGTCGTGGAAGTCCAGGCCCAGGCCTACTGTAGGAAGTTGGGAGGAAGGGTGGGCGTGGTGTAGGGCGGGAGGAAAGGATGGACGTAGTGGTCGTGCTCTTCACGTCCTCCTTTCCTTGTGAATGGACCCTGGCAATCCACCCGCACCACCTCTCAAATCCACATCGATCGACTCCAGGAGTACTTGAAGCGCGTCTCCCTGAAGCGCACCCCAGAGCCCTTCACCTTTTGCTTCGCTGGGCGTACGCCCTCGCGTGTGGCGGAGCTCCGCGACCGAGAGTTTGCGGGCACCCAGCTAGGGCCCCAAGAGGGACGAGAGGACGGACGAGCGAGGCCAGGCCAGGCGCTGAGTGGAGAAAAAAAAACATGACCAGGAGTCACAACATACCATTGCACACCACCGGAGTGAAACCGAAGCACAGGAACCTAGCACCAAGGACAAGCGTGGCATGCGGTCATGAAAGGAAGTGCTATTGGACTGACGATTCACATGAATTGGGCACAACTCAGTCTGTTGACTAATTCAGGAGGCACTTGGGTGAGAGATACTAATACGATCAAAAATGTTCCCGAAACAATCCCCATTCGGATTCCAAAAACTTCGCATGTGAGGGTGTCATTGATCATGTTTCGCTTCTTGGTGGGTTGGTTGCTTCGCTACTTCACTGGCCGTGGGTCAAAACCTCATCATATCACCATACAAACCATCGAAGGTTAATATCCCTCATAGACCCTAGCCCTAGGCCTCCAGTCGTACCTTCGTTTCGGTTCGGTGGGACTGGGGGCCCGGGTGCCAGCCAGTCGGGTCCAGTCACACCGAACCGCTTCGGAGGTACGACGGGTCGGTGTATAGGGAGGAAATCGCTTCATTTGACCAGTGCTCCACCGGGGTCCCCCACGTTGGACCCTCGTCCGGTTCGGGGGGGAAGTGGCGCTGTTGGTCTCCCTCAGCGAAGTTGGATGGCAGTACCTCTGAAAAGACCATGCAATCCTGTACCCATACCAGCACCCGACTCTACAGGTCACCATTTGCGACTTTTAAGTCAGCAAAAGCTTCCATTTCCAAGACCTCTAGAGTCGGGTGCTGGTAGGGGATGAGATTGGTGAACTGCACTTTCATGTTTGTCGCGGGGAAGACTTGGTTTCTAGACCTCTGGGGGAGGCTCGACGGCTGACAGACCTCCCGATCCATCCTACGCGCATAGAAACACACCGCGTTTGAAGCACCGCAGAAGTGGTCCGCGGTCGCTTCATCCGGCCTGGAGCTCTTCAGAGATCTTCCAATTCTCTAGGGCTCTAACTGCCTCAGAAGTGATTTGGACCCTCCTGGCACCCACCCCCCCAGTCCCACCGAACCGAAACGAAGGTACGACTGGAGTCCTATAAAGCAAGATCCCTATCATTCTGGACCGGCCCTCGGACATCATCACAGGCAGACTCCAGACCTACTAGGTACCCACCCATCCCGCACGAACCGACACAGTAGCCACGACTAGCCCGACACAGTAGAACTGGAACACGAGCACACGAGGTGGGAAAACACACCGGTGCTGCAGATGTCCTACGATGATCCCTATTCGGTCATCGATTTGGCCACTTGGCGGTCGTCGCTGCGAAGCTCTCGACGCAGAGCGCCGCTCCGGTTTCACAGGTCCAGTACTACTGGGCCCCCTGTTTGGGGTGTCCAACTATAGCTCTTTAGAGGTTAAGGGATGTCCATTAACCACCCCTCAGGGGACCCTGGTACCTTTTGGTTCGTTCATTTCTGTGGAAAAACAGCTTGACTTGGCATCAGTTGTGAGAGGTGGATTGATTATCAATTCGCTGGGTTCACTCTAAAGCGTACAACCCAAGAAGCTTGGCCAAACTAGTGAATGACCCTGGCCTTAAACGCGTGGCTGGGGATTTTAAACATCCCGGGTGGTTTGCCATGTTGACTCTCCTAGCGACTGAAGAATCATCCGCTCGGGGCACTGACACTCAAGAGCCTAAACAAAGTCCAATGGCATCACCTCCTGTGGAGAAAACGATGACATCCAAGGTGAAAAGTGCAAGATGCATTATCAATGTGGCAGGGCCTTATATGCTCACACAAGGCGAGCTCATGAACCTTGGATGAGGTTGACGTTGGACACGGCATGTGACACCGTTTGACACGAGGCGAGGTTCTTTTACTTAGAAGCGTTGTTTGTGGTTTTACCACGTTTAACCATATGTGACACACCTGGGCAGAGCGCAAGATGGTTTCACTCGCTAACGTGATCACAAATGAGCATTTTGAGTTAGAGTAATGTAGACTCTTGATTACATTTCACAGTACCATATGACAAGGATGTCCAATTCAAATGGGATGTATATATTAATGCATTTATCAAGAGTTTACAGTAACTTGCTTGTTGCCTTTTTCGATTCGCAACTTCTCAACTCAATGCAGGCTCCTGCTCCTTGTTTAGCATTGATCGACAAGAATGACAGGTGTCCTTTGTGAAGACATTGTCATGCCAGGAATATTGCACTGTACATTCTTATGTTGCGCACATATATGGTGACTCTAGTATTGACTAGATATGAAGGTGCAACTATGTTCATGCCAGAACTTGAGGAGGTGCAATGGAGTTGGAATCCAGCTACGCCTCGATGCCATCCCCCCACCAAGCCTAGGAATACCCAAAAACGCAGATCAAGTGACTGGCGCATCGCAGGAAGTCTTTCAGGATCCAATCATTTCACCGGTCTGCTACTGGAGGCGTGGGAGGCGGGAGGTTACTATAGTTTCACGTATTTTTGTCCATTGTGGCACTTGGGCACACGATTAGTCGATTTGCTGGGACACACGTTGATACACGCAGGTGGTCAAAGAGGTTTATATCATGCAGGTTTGGTGCCGTCACAGCAGCCTTGGGTGCCGTCACAACCGGAGACACAACTTTCGTTGATCTCCCGCGACTGGTCTAAGGATCGACTGCTGTATCACCATGGGGGTGCACTACTGCGACATCAGTGGTGAGATTCCTTGGTCCAGGCGTATCACTCCTTTGCACAAGTACGCACAGCGCAACAAGGCGGGGCCACGAAGATTAGATGGGCCCAATGGGATAGTTATCGCTCACTGTAAAGGACTTCCGCCCAGATCAGGGAAACTACTGTCCGCTCCTCCGGGTCTGTTCTGCCTCATGCGCTCAGCGTCGCGAGCCGCTCTAGGCGTTCATCATCCCTTCGGCAGCCTCCGCCGGCGGCTTCCCGGACCTTTGCACCTTCCTTTGTGCCAAGAAGGTGCCGTTTGACCGTCGTTCGCATGCGAGCGGACGGTGGGGAAGACGCATGAGTGGGCACAGGTGGACGCGCGACGTGGAGTGGAGGTGCTGTGAGGCATCCAAGGCAAGTAGCAGGCCAGATAGGAACTGCCTGCTACAGGAATTCAGTGGGCAAGGGGTGCAGCAGATGGCATATAAGCAGAGGAACCCAGGAACATCACTGGTGAGACAGGAGACATTTGGGCAAGACATGCTAACACACCCCTGTTCTTTTCTCATTCCAAGCTCCAGCAGCGCAGCAAGAACCAGCCAAGGTTCCATGTAGCTTATCTCATTGCGGAATGTTGCTGAAGATCCAGTCCCAGACACTGTGAGTCATGAAGAACCGTATGACCCGGGGTCAATGGGGTGGCATATGGCATCCACACTATTGAGTGTTTGGGAGTGTTTCCTTAATCCTGGGTGCGATCCAGACTCCAGACTCGTTTCGACCACCCAAATATACCACGCGATCCTGAACCCGACATCTGAACCGGACATCCTTCGGGACTTGGCCTCCATCTTCAAGGCCCATGAGGAGTATGGGGAGGATTTGCGGAAGGCCATTTGCTATGTGAATGGTGGTGGTGCTATTGCGCCCCTTCGCTGCACCTGATGGAACGAACGTCGACCGGACCTCCGATCCCGCGCCGTCATCGGGAGGACGTGAACGCGCGACGCGCGCACGATCGGCAGGGGTGGGGTGGGGGGGGGGTGAAGGACGCGTGGCCGCCGGAGGTGAACCTGAACTCTGAAGTTCCGGAAGTGAAGATGTGAACAGCCTCCGGAGGGTTGTAGATGGGTCGACCCTTAACCACCTGAGACCGGACTGCAAGCCTGGCCCATGAATGAGGGAACTTGCTCGAAGAGGCTGTTCACCCGCGTTTTCGGGGCCAGGAGCCATTTTTGTCTCCTTCCAGGAGGTGTGTGTGTTTCTTAGTGTGCTTGCGTGATGTTGTTCCTTTTTTTCCTCATGCAATCTTGAAGATTATTCGATGCCCAGGGCCCAGACGCTTTATATGTATGGTATATTATGCCAATCAGTTGGGGTGGGAGGCTGAGATTTGGTCCCCCAATCGAGCGAGACCGGGCCAGCAGCTCCTCGTCGTCTGAAGGAGAGGTCAAGGTATCGAAGGACCTCACGGTCCAATTCCACCTGACGTCATATCAGATCCACGGGTTTCGGGAACGAAGATGCAAGAGAATCGATTGGGAATGGTCTTTGCCCAGTCCCTATAGGCCAGTCGTATCGTTTCGGTGGGACGGTCGGGGTCCGGCCATGTGAGGGTCTACCTTCCTCTGGAGGTACGACGGGTCGGTGTAGGGAGTTCATTTTCGTGGGTGGGATCCCCAGATCCCCCCTTCTGGAGAGCATTTTGTTTTTTCCCCGGCTGGAGCATGTATATACAAGATAACTATGGGCACCGTTAGTAACGCACCCAACAGTCCTTAGATGCTTCTACCAGAGATTTGAGGCCCACATGGGGAACAGCCGAGCTTGACGATCCCCTCGTCCCAACACGCAGCAACAGAAACCGAAAAGGAAAACGGTGTGTTTCTCAACACCAACACTCAGGCCGCCGAACTATCCGAAACGAGAACCAAAGCCAGGAAATCCCGGTTGGTTGGTGGATGCCTGGTGGGTAAAGAATGGAAAAAAGAAAGACCGTATTCTGGCATCGTTTGAATCTGTATTGCTATCCTTCCCCGCCCATGGATCTATTCTTCACTCCCCACCGGCACGGCCACCGAGCCACACGGCCCCAGGACGGCCTCCGGCGGTACGCTGAAGACCCGTGCCACGATGGCGGCCGGTGGCGATGAGACCTGGCTGAAAAGGTGATGTGTGCCCAGACCATCCAAACTGGCATATTTACATGGCCCACCCACTAAATAAGGATTCCTGGGGGTCTTGAGGTGGGCCCCCATTTAGCGTAAGGGCCATATATTTACCTATCTTGGGGGCCGGTTGGAAGGGGGTCAATGTAGGTAAATGTGCCATTGTGACGGATGGTTTATGAGAAAGGCGAGGTGACCTGCGTGGTTCAGACTGGTCAAGCCAGTGACCCTGTACGTAAGCGTTTGGGTGTGCATCAGGGTCTAGAGTTAAATCAGAGATGGAAGCGGGTGGTCCTATGATTGACTGAAACAGCCGGTGGGTTTCATGACCCCAAGCCCATGAGCAAACCGTTCTTTTGTTGGGGATTTGATTTGTGCTGCATCGCCCATGCAGGATCCCCACATGATTTTCTCGTTCGTTCACCATGCTTCGACCCAACTCCCTGAAGTTGTCATCTACCAGGTACTGTAGGTCCTCCAGAGGTACTCCAGGCTCATCCCAACTCCCAGCGATTCGCTCCAAGGAGACGCGCAAGATGATGGGCGACCCCTATGCACTGGGTGGCTTTGTGCCGGATCGCGACCGCTGCTCGGATGGCGACCGGTGGTGAGGTGTTTGTGACCGTTTGCGGGTTAGGTGAGGATGCGAACGGAGTTCCAGAGGTGGTTTTCATGTGTTTGCTGTTGAGTGTTGGCAGGCCAACATGCCGAGTGAAAACATCACAAGGCGTACTGCCTCTTTTTTTTGGGGGGGGGGGACAATGGACATGGAAGCTCTGTGACCGGTTTTTCGGCGCCTGACACCGACCGAAGACGGAGGCGTGGAGTTGTGAAAGTAGGCATTCCCACAGCAAGGGGTTCAAATAGCGAGCGCGAGAGAGAGAGAGAGAGAGGGAGAGAGAGAGAGAGTGAGTGAGTGAGTGAGTGAGTGAGTGAAGGAGTGGATTTCTAGCATCGCTGTTCAGCTGCTTCCTGGTGTCGTGCAGCTTTGACAACAAGAAATGCAAAACCACCGACAGTGTAAATTTAAATCTTCGATTGGACCGAGTGGAGGCAACTGTTTCCGCGGGGGCGACCGATTTTGAGGTCATGGCATCAAGTACTGCAACATCGAGTTTGGCACGGGAAAAGTCACCACTAAGGCGCTTGGGAGAAGACTCATGTTGGATCAGTAGAGCCTTGAAGAAGATTCCGTCATGTCATAACTCAATACATATAGTCATATATAGAGAACTTATAGATCATATAGATACCTTAGATGGAAAGGAAGGTGGACAACAGGTGACAGCGCAATTTCAAACGGCCTCAAAGTCCTGGTCTCAAGTGTATGTTTCCCGGCGCTATGGCCACTCACCGTATATACCGTATACCGTACTTCACGCATGGAAGACTCGTCTAGGGCGCTTAAAGCACTTGTTCAAAGCAGCTCTAAAGGTCGGGAATTCTCATTGTTCTGGAGGAATTCTCAGTGCAAACATATCCCAGACACGACCCGAACCTGGGACTGCCATGACGGACTGCCGATCAAGCCAGACCCCCATGGCACCACCACCCCTGGCCTGATCGGTATATATGGCAGTCCATTAGTCGTGTCTGGGTATACCAAACCCCAACGCCTTTTGCGTGCCTTCGGAGGAAACCGGAAACGGTGTTCGGGGCAGGGTGGTTTAGAGGGTTCAGTCAGTGTGAGAAAGTTAGCTTCAGGTAACGATACAAGTTCGCCTCAGCATGTCATGTCCACTTCCGCAGGTGTGTGCAACCCCGCGGCCACTTAGGGATCCCTTCGGCCATTACTGGCACATGAGCTGCCAGGGTCGGGCACCGACCCGTTCACGCGACCGCGACGCCATAGGTGGAAAACCGCTTGGGCCGTGGGCAATCGAGAAGTGTACCAAGTTGTTCACTTTTGCTTTGCTGTGCCAGTGGCTACCTCACATTGGTAGCGGAGCCGGGCGATCCGGCTCGGCTCAACCATCGTGGTTGGGCCCTACATCGACGACACCATCGACGCTCGGGACTCGCTCTTTGGTGACTGCACCTATGACTTCGCCCGAACTACATCCTCTAGGAGCTCTACATCCTCCAGCGCCGCCGCTGCTGCTGAGCTGCTGGGCAAGGCACCTACTACCTCTTGGACGACCGCCTCGGCGAGTTCACTCTCAGAAGATGGCCAGAGACTTCAAGGAAGTGGCCAGTTGGAATGGAGAGCCAACGGGGTGGAATGACTATGCTCGCCAAGTCCGCCTTTGTTGGGAGAAGACCGCCAAGCACAAGAGGAAGCTTCTTGGTCCAGAGCTCGCTAGCAAGCTCACCGGTCGAGCATGGGCAGTCACGCCCAATCTTGACCACCAGAAGCTTGGCAAACGCAATGGAACCAAGTACCTGCTCAAGTACCTCCAGGACCGCTTGTGCAGGACGGCCATCCCTGACGCAGGAGCTCGGTTGGAGGATCTGTTGATCCGGATGAGGAGGCCGCTTGGTATGGCTATGAGCCAATGGGCCAATGAAGTGTTGGAGGGGTACCGCAAAGTGCAGCGGGCCCTGATTCGTGCACGCCAGCTCCAACGAGCAAAGGACAAGGATGAGGTGAAGAGCATGTCTGAACCTCATCGAGAACCTCCTACCTCGCCGACGAGGAGAACGCCCTCGACGAGTCCAGCACACCGGTCGACGCCAAGTCCTTCGAGAAGAACTGCTGGCTATGGTGCTGACCCTCAAGACCCGATCCAGGAGTCAGGAGATGAGCGCGGCGACTACGCTGCTGTCCCTCAAGGTCTTGAAGATGAAGAAGAACATGAAGATTGGGAACCACGCTGGACAGATGTCGAGTGGAAGGAGTGGCGCAAGCAGCAGAAGAAAGAGTGGTATGATGATGACTCAAGTTCTGGAGAAGATCTTCCTTGGGACGAGCTTCAAGTGGAGGAGATTCAAGTGTTGCCGGATGAAGTTCTCGGCTGGTTGTTGCTCAGGAGGGCAAACCTGAGTGCCTCGAGTCGCTTATCTGTACAAGCTTCGGTGAACAACTCCCTCAAGTTCCAAGACATCGAGTTGGCCTTACGAGACCAAGAAGAGGAGCTGTTGCAGGCAGACCAAAGCCGAGGACCTCATGGCAAACGCCGCACCTACTGGGTGGAGGAAGAAGGTCAATGGGGCCTACTTACCGCCATGGAAGACGGCGACGAGGCTGCGGAGATCCACTGGGTTGGACCTCAACTCCCATCTGAAGTATATGACCCTGGACCTGGACCTTCGAAAGATGATGAAGACGACTCCATCCTCTGGACGCAGGAGTATGATGGGTGGCATGGCTACTACCAGGACAACTATGGCTTCTGGTTTGAGACCGACGGCTATGGCACCTACTGGAGTGCTGATGATGGCTATGCCGACCTGGATCCCGAGGAGGTGAAAGAATTGGATGAAGCCTACATGGCCTATGAGAACAAAGCCCGCACCTTCATGCAGAGCCGACAACTTCAGAAAGCGAAAGGTGCTTCGAGAGGTTTCTATCCCCTGGGCATGATGAAGGGCAAGAAAGGCCGTTCGAAGGGGAAGTACAAGAAAGGAAAAGGTATGGGACATACTTCATCATCCTCATCATCTTCAACGATGGCAAAGCCTCTATTTGCTGCTCAAGGACCTGATGGATCTTCAACGACCTCGAGCACGGGATGCTTCATCTGTGGCGATAAGGGCCATGGGTTCCGACAATGCCCAAAGAGATCCAATCCGTCGACAAGTTCATTTGGCAAGGGTGCCAAGAAAGGCACCTACTGGGTCGAGTCATTGACAGGCTCACCCTTGGCTTTCGTGGGCATGGTCATGAAGGACGAGGTGATCTACGACACCACCGGCTATGGAGTGCTGGATTTAGGAGCCACTGAGACGGTGGGCTCCTTGGAGGCTCTCGAGGCTTTGATGGACTTGCGCAGCAAGATGCATGGCATTTCGGAACCGGTGGAGGTGTTCACAGGACCCTCTGCTCGCAAGCCTTTCAGGTTTGGCAATGGGGGAATTCAGGTATCTTCCAGCTATGTCATGGTTCCACAACGACTAGGAGATCAACTGGTCTCCTTGGGGCTCTACACGATTGATGCCGAGAAGGTGCCGATCCTGATTGGCATGAAGACCTTGGAGAAGATGGGTGCGCTGATAGATGTTTGTGGGAGATGGCTTGTCCTTTCGTCCATCTCACCTGAGGTGAAGATCCCCTTGGCAAAGAGCCGAGCTGGACCTCTTTTGGTGAACCTCACCATGGACTGGTTGAATGTCAGCCAACCTTTGAAGGACGCTGCAACTCATGGAGCATATACAGCGCACTGTCGGTCGGATGTGTTGAGTCATTCAAGCTTTTCTCCATGTGGTCATGTTCATGAAGCTCCCATGTCGATTTGCACTTCTTCATCGACCGCGTCGTGCAAGAGTTGTGTAGTTGAGAAGGTTTGGATGATTGAGGATGAAATTGAAGGTGAAGATTTTCCTGAAGAGTCTGTTGTGCTCATGAGTGAAGGCGGTGATCGAATGCCGCTGACTTCAGGGACTCAAGAGATGCGTGATCGCATCTTGCAGCAACTCGTGAGCCCATCGAGTGCTGCCTCGGATCCTTCACCACCACGCCATGGCGCCCAAGAAGGACAAGTCCACCAAGGAGAAGATCCCCGCGGACGAGAAGTACGACTGGTCACGGACGCAAGGTCCAGACAAGGAGGATCCTCGATGCCTGGGACCTCCGTGCTTCGGGGAACACCAGGAGGCCCTGCCGGGCCGAGGATCGGTGACAGGGAGCAACAAGTTTGCTCGGTGGACCGGATGTCAGGCCTGTGGCATCCGCCTGAGCTACACCCCCACGTGGGGAAGTCATGGCCTATCACGACAAGCTGGCCCTTTACATCAGGACACTTCCAAGCAGTTGGAGGAAAAGAAGCCAGCAAAGGGCTCCATCGACCTGGTCAACAAGAAGATCGGCTACGATGCACAAGAAAGGAGCATCATGAACCAGTTGGAGATGGTGCAAAAGAAGAAGGAGCAGTGGTTGAAGACCCAGGCCAGCAAGGGCGAGGTGATCAAGGAGAACGACCAGGAGAAGGGCCATGGGAAGGGCTACACCGTCCCGAAGGAGAAGATGGACTACGCCCTTATGGACCCTCAGCAGAAGGCATCAGGTACAATGTCTTCGGGACCAATTTCCCAGACGGGACCTGCGCTCACCGACAAGGAGGTGATGAGTCAGACACCGGGCCGCAAAGCTCGCAAGCCAGAGGAGACGGCGGAGCACTTGGAGTACAGCCATCGCAATGGCGAGAGCCCGGAGTCGGAGGAGTGGTCGATGGTGGATGGGCAGCCGAGCACAACCCCATGATGGAGAAGGAGCTTCAAGGCAGTGCTCAGAGGCTGAGCCCAGAGGTTTCACCTGCAAGGAATTTGATGAGTACAAGTACACCTATGGCGGAATCGACCGAGAGGGTCGAAGGTTTCACTTCGAATGGCATTTTGCCAACGACTTTGCCTTCCTCACGTGGCAAGAGGAAGAAGCGGGACACTGAGAATGAGGAGGTCTACATCAGCACCTTGGAGGAGGAAGAGACAGCCTTCTTGATCCAGGAGATCGACAACTATAACTCTGAGGTGGAGGAGCTGATGATTGCCTTGCGTGCCATGAACACTGGCGAAAGACCTCCCACAATTTTGGAACTATGCTGCGAGGAAGACAGTTGCATCTCAAAGGCAGTGGAGCTTTGAGGCGGACGAGGCATCCGCTGTGGACTCTTCAATGGCTGTGACTTGAACAAGAAAAGTGGCTTCAACAAGGTGATGACCCTCGTCAAGGAAGAGAAGCCAGATTTGGTTTGGGTGGCACTCCCATGTGGTCCGACTTCATCGATCCAAGAACTGAACATGCTCACTCCCGAAGGTTACGCCAAAGTCCAGGCAAAGATCTCCAAGTCTAAGAAGTTAGCCGGGAGAGCAATTACAGTGATGGAGACCCAGATTGACCAGGGAGGCCATGTGATGCAAGAATGGCCACGCTACAACAAGGGGTGGCAGTTTAAGTCCATCGAAAGATTTTGGAGATCCTTCGAGTATCATGAAGCCTACATCGACGGCTGTGCCTATGGCCTGACTCATTGTAGCCAACCTCATGTCCCCTGTGAAGGAGGAGATCTCACAAGGATGAGTGCTTTGTACCCACGCAAGATGTGCCAACAAGTGGCAAAGACCTTGGAGGAGGTCCATGGAGATCTCGAGGAAGCAAGCTTCGCAGCGTCTGCCGTCAACCCTGACTGCGACATGGATTGCCTCAAACAATTCACTGACCAGGAGATCCAGAAATCAGCTGGAGAGGTTTTGAAGCTTCATCAAAAGCTTGGACATCCTAGCAGGCAATCCTACTTGAAGATGCTGCGAGATCGGGGAGCAGGCAAGTTAATCAGGACACTGGCCTCCATTGTTCACTGCCCGGACTGCCAGGAGGCAGCCATTCCACCCGCTCGTCGTGCTGTAACAATTGAACAGGCCACCGAGCTTTGGGAAGTGATTCAACTTGACAACATGGAGATCAACATCGGCAACCAGAGCTATCACTTCCAGATTGTCCTCGACGAAGCTTCAGGCTACGGGGCAGCGAACTTCTTGTTTAAGCATGAGATCACTCCGGGCCAGTCTCGCAATGCAACTTCACAGGAATGCATTGACGCCCTCTACAGAGGATGGATCCAGTACTTTGGTTATCCAAAGATCATCAAGTTAGATAAGGAGGGTGCACATCGAGGACGACCTTTTGAAGAGTGGTCAGAAGGCCATGGAGTTGAAGTGATGGCCGTGCCAGCTGAAAGTCATGGTCAAATTGGTCAAGTGGAGCGCTTGATTGGCACTTTGAAGAAGAAGATGATGGCCCACTTGAGATCCTCGAATATGTCACCCGAAGTTGCTGCATGGGCTATGATTGGTGCACACAACACCATGTCCAACATTGGTGGCTACAGCCCGGCACAGTGGGTCTTTGGACGAAACTTCTCGGACTCGCTTCGACTTCATGATGGACCTGATCTTCCCTACTGGTCTGGCATGAGCACCTCTGAGAAGATGAAGAAGCAGCTCGAAAGCAGGCTGGAAGCTGAAACTCACCACAGGGAGTACATCCTTCGAGAGAAGACCAACGCCGCCTTCAACACCAAGATGGCGAAGCCTGTCCGCTTTGACCCTGGAGCCTTGGTCTACTACAAGAGATTTCAACCGCCAGCAGATCGAGCTGAACGATCTCATCAGGAGCTGGATGTGCCACGTCGAAAGGTAGCAAGATGGTATGGACCAGCCAGAGTTCTGGCCTTGGAGACGAAGGTGACCTATGACGGCCATGTGAGACAGCCGCACAACATCGCCTGGATCATTGCATCTGGAAGGCTCAAGAAGGTCCACACCAACCAACTTCGACATGCCAGTGAACGAGAACGACTTGTGGCACAAGGCACAACGCAGCTGACTCTCCCCTGGACCTTTCAGGACCTCACCGGGCTGGTGAAAAAAGGAGAGTATGACGATGAGATCATGACCCAGAGACAACTCCAAGCCGATGGAAAGAGATTCCGTGAAGCCATGGAGGAGAATCAACGCCATGCACGGGCGCTCCAACGAGCAAAACGAGCTCTGGATCCAAGTGATGAAGATATGACATCACCAACGGGGCAGGCCAGTTCATCAAGAGCAAGAACCGACTTCCTGCCGCCTGAGGAGGACATTGAAGAAGGGGCAATGGAAGATGACGGACAAGGCCCAGATCCTCGACATGAAGTCCGAGCAGACCTTGATCCGACAGCTGTGATCCAAGACCCCGATCACATGCCCTTCGAAGAGCCGGACCCAGCACCTTTGTACCGGCACCCGCTATTTCTTCAAGCCCGACGACGCCATGAAATGGATGAGCGACCCCAACATGTCCAACGTCAAGAATTCCTTCAGCAACGGGGCACCGCGGAAGATGAGAACCTTTATGTGGAAGAGATGGAGTTGGACGAGGCCTATCTGAACCAGCTGGAAGGCTATGCTTTTGCCGTGACGCTGCCTACGCCATCAACAGAGGCAGAATGGAGGTCCATTGTCAAAGACCCCGGCAAGTTTGTGGCGAAGAAGCTGGCAAAGGGAGTTGAAGTGTCTTGGCAGAAACTCAATGAAGAACAGCGGCGAGCTATGAAGGAGGCGAAGGGCATCGAGATTCAAGAATGGATCAGCTCCAAAGTTTGCCGTGCTGCACTTGGCCCAATCCCTCAGGATCGCCTCATGCGAATGAGGTGGGTTTTGGTTCTGAAGGGCACCAACGACCCGAAGGTGGTCAAGGCCAAGGCGCGCTTGGTAGTCATCGGGTTCACCGACCCTGACCTTGGTTTGGAGGTGGTGAGAAGTCCAACTTTGCCTCGTCGTGGACGGCAATGCCTTCTACAAATGGCCATCCACCGCAACTGGAGCACTTTGAAATCCGATGCCAAAGCAGCTTTTCTGCAGACTGGTGATACGCAACTTCATCGCCAGATTTTTGGCATGCCAGTTGTGGAGCTTCAGGAAGCTATGCAGCTCAAGCCCAACCAGGCCGTGCAGTTTCTCAAGGCAGCGTACGGGCTCACCATTGCTCCCAAAGAGTTCTACCATCATGTGGACTCCATCCTGACCCGGCTTCAACTTCATCGACTGCACGTCGATCCAAGCATCTGGATTCTCAAAACCCAGGACGATGCTGGCAGAGTTCAGGTGCATGGTGCAGTGGGCGCCCATGTGGATGACTTCCTTCTGATGGGCGATGAGGACAGCAAAGTCTGGTGCACCTTCTTGGAGGACTTCCACAAGTCGCTCAAGTGGAGCCCATGGGAGGCACCGCCAATGAACCACTGCGGAGTTTGGATGGCCCAGGATGAACACAAAGCGTGGCATCTCAGCCAGGGCGAGTTTTGTGAAGGCCTGAGTCAAGTGGTTGAAGATGGAGAAGGTAAGGACTTGACAAAAGGAGAACTCCATCAATGCCGTGCAGTGCTTGGAGCAGCTCAATGGCGATGCTACCAGACAGGTCCCCAGCATGCTGCAAAGCTGAGCCACCTTCAAAGCTTACTGCCTCGTGGAGATCGAAGCACTCTCAAAGACATTAACAAGTTTGTCCGCGAGCTCTACCACCAGAAGGATGAGAAGGTCTCGGTGTATGACCTCAAGGCCCAGGCTGATGAGGACATCGTTGCAGTGGGCTGGAGTGATGCGGCTCTGGCAAACCGAGTGGATTTGTCATCCACCGGAGGCTACATCGTCGGCTTTGCCCACAAGAGCATGCTCAGCGGCATCCAAGGCCAGGTAAGTCTGGTGAGTTGGAGCACTCACAAGCTCCGACGTGTCTGCAGGAGCAGCCTGGCAGCTGAAGCACAGGCCCTGTCAGAGTGTGAAGCAGAGCTTTTCCTGGTCAGAGCCCTTTGGCAAGAACTTCGAGGTCAAGTTCTCAACATGGCCAACCCGTGGCTGACGTCGAAGATGACACCTGGAGTGCTTGTGGTGGACGCAAAAGCGCTCTATGACATGTTGCAGCAGCAGGATGTCCCGAACCTGTCTGCGAAGGAGAAGCACACAGCTTTAGAGGTGCTTGGTTTGTCACAGCACTTGATGGAGCAGGACACCACTTTGAGGTGGGTGAATTCCCATCAGCAATTGGCTGATGGAATGACGAAGATCTCAGCTGCTGATGGTGTGATGCAGTTCCTGAAGAAGCAGCAGCGATGGAATTTGCTCTATGATGAATCCTTCACAGCGGCCAAGAAGCTCCGTGGGCGATCTGAGTGGCCTGAGCCTGAGGATCAAAAGGATCCAAGCTGGATGGACTTGCTGAACCGAACTTCGGGGCATGTGAGAAAGTTAGCTTCAGGTAACGATACAAGTTCGCCTCAGCATGTCATGTCCACTTCCGCAGGTGTGTGCAACCCCGCGGCCACTTAGGGATCCCTTCGGCCATTACTGGCACATGAGCTGCCAGGGTCGGGCACCGACCCGTTCACGCGACCGCGACGCCATAGGTGGAAAACCGCTTGGGCCGTGGGCAATCGAGAAGTGTACCAAGTTGTTCACTTTTGCTTTGCTGTGCCAGTGGCTACCTCACAGTCAGACCGAACCTGAGGAGGTACGACTGGAGCCCTAGGGAAACATAGCAAAACATCATCAAAACATATACCACTCACTGAGGTTTTCAGGACCAGGTTTGGACCTGGGTGAGTCAGACTTGACTTGCAACATGGGATGATGATGGTCCTGACTTCGGAAGGTGCGAGCTGAAGATTTGGACGCCAACATGTCGAAGATCTCAGAGGATAAACATTTGGGCATTTGGCGCGGTCCCAACGTCTACTCCTACTTCGATACACGCATTGTCAGGCAGGAAGAGCGACCGGGGAAGGGATGTTTGGGAGCTTGGCGGGCGCTGGTGGGCCGACATCCAAAACAAATGAAACATCATCCAACGTCCAAAACATATCCCATCAAGTCCCATTACCCATTTTGGGGAGGCTTTTTGGCGCTTCTGAACCACGCCCCGGCATTCTCCGCGGCAGGCGGTCGAACATGCTGCTAGCGGACATGGGCGGCCAACCGTACGGAAAGAGCTTGAACTTTCTTCAGTTCTCATGGCTCCCCACCGCTCCTTGCCAGAAATAGGAAGGATCAGACCAAGGGCTAATGGGACTAATAGGTCTAAGTACCTCTAGATATGGGAACCTTACGCTAACGTTGTTTGTACTTTTGTTTAAACTTAATGTTGTTGTTTTAAAGTAGGGCTGGATTGGAGATGCGTTTCGCCGTCGATGTCCTCTTGGAGACCAACTCGCCGGCGGGAGGGAACCACGACGAAACTAGTGCATCTCTCGCTCTTGAAGGAATAAGAGGCGGAAAAGAATGGCCAACTGTGCTGGAAAGCTGAGCTGATACAGAATGGGAACGGGATAATTGGATAGAATTGGGGTTTGATATCCATGAATCACTGAAACTATTTTCATGGCAAAGGCAATAGTTCATGTTCCACTGCCTGTGGTGCAGTTGAGCTGGCACCTGCTGCTGGATTCGTTCCAGCAACCAGTTGTGGACAGCCATGTGCGGCGATCATTTGAATTGGGTATGGCCACAAAAAGCCTGTAGCTCCCAGCATCACAGACCTTGAGATGGCTTGGCCTACTAAATGACACAATGTAGGCCCATCATAAGGCCCACAGAGAGCAGGGCCGTCGAAACATGGGCAAAGCAAACACTGTTTCCCGCTTCAACAATTCATTCAGCGGCTCGCGTTTTGTTTGGATCAATTTCATTCTTTGGCGCGTTCGCCCCAAACCCCATCGTAGTCAGGAGATGCTCATGCAGCAAAAGGGCGGCGGTGGCGGTGCCGGCGGAGGTGCCGGCGGTGGTGCTGGTGGCGGCGGCGGCGGAGGCAGCGTGGATGCGGAGCGAAAGGCTTTGGAGGCGTCGGACATCGGGTGGGACTGGGTTGCAGATGGGTAGCGGGTCAGAAAGGGGTGAGCTCTTGCATGTTTTTGCTATACATCAGTGGACTCTAGAGGAAGGTTCCTATCTTAGTTGAGATGGTTTTTTGGGGTCGGAAGGAGGGGTTAATGATTTAGTGCTGCAGGAGTGGGGAAGTACAAGTGATTACAAGTGCGTACTAATTCATGGACATGGAATGGGCAACTCGCAAATGGAACGACAACCAGTTTCTCATATTGCTTTGGCAGGCTTTGGGGGGCATTTAAGTTTCATTGTTAGATTCGCGGCGCCATGTGGCATTGGGCAAACTGAATAATTGGAACACTGGAGCCTTGTCCCTCCCCCCCCATCACACTGTTGTCACCCTGTGGTGATCCCACCGTCTTCATCTCCAACCCCTTTTGACCTATTTTGGGAGCGACACCTCCACTTCCACCTTGCCCGGCCTTGCCGCTTCGATCATGGATTCTGCGCTTTGAACCGCCCAGACTCCACCCACACACCACAAGACCTCGATTTCAGTTCGCTCTTCCTTCCAAAAACGCGGCGTCCTTTTCAGACCGGCAGGCCAAAGGTGTGTACTACAAGGCCGGTGAAGGTCCGCCACTCGAAGAGTTGGAAGACGCCTGGTCCGCGTGGTTCGTGTGGACCCAGACCGTGCCTCGGTGAGGGAACGCTTCGATCTCGACCCGTCGGATTCCGATCTTCCGACGTCCGGGTGATTTCATGGAGGTCACTCGTCCATGAAACCGGCCTTCACCGGCCTTCTTTGTACTCCGGTGAAGGCGGAAGACGGGAAAATCCCCATGATGAAGATCTGCCATCTCTCGGTGAAAGAGCGGTGTGAAACGAAACGCGTTTTTCAGAACGCGGCAAGCCCTGGAAGAAGACGCACCGCTGGAAAGCGGCCCAGACCAGTCCGATTGCTCATTTCACCGTCAAATCTCACGAGTTCTTGCTAAATATCCATCGGAAGCCCGCTCAAAAAAGAAAAAGGAGAGCGAGAGAGTGGCACATCACTTGGGTTATCCAGATCATGGATGGTCGGGGGACTTCAGGCGGAGGATCAACTTCAGACCCTGAATTGCTATGTGTAGGGTCTGTCCGAACTGACCTGTAACAGTCAGTAAATTATTGCCTATGTTTAAACAAGGCAACTGAACCATCATCATCCACTGTTACAGGTATTAGGATAGACCCAAGGCATAAACCAGTAGTTCCATTTCTTCGGGTGTGCTTTTCACGACTGGAGCAGCCGGGTATTCCCAATGGTGCCCCTGCCACATAATGTGGACTCCACTCACTGGATGGGACTCAAAACATAAAACATTTCCTACGAGTCAATGACCTCATTTTGCTGACGTTGGTCATACACCCCCCAAAAAAACACACTCTTCAAGAAGGTGAAGGACCCAGGTTCTGGGTCAGACTGGACTTGTAGGGATCCCTTTCACTGGCAATTCTTCCTTTCCCAGACTTGGCCACCTTCGGTCCGGTTCCATGGCCCGTGGCGCCAAGGAGAAGGGCCGTGAGATCAAGTGCGACTTCATTGGTCGAGACGGCTATTTCGAGACCGCGCGCATCGCGGTGGAGACGGCGCCTGGGAAGGAGAAGGGTCTGGGCACTGCGGTGGCTTTACACCATGCCCAGTATGGCCCTGATGCGGAGGATGAGACCCCAGCATCCCAAGACTGCCTTAGACTTATAGCCAACGATCCATCCCATCAAGGTCCCGAATGCTGAAGATTGGTCGCAATTCACACCTCAGCTGCACCAGTCAGAAGACCCTGTGGGGATATGGTGGGTCATCCAATCGCATCCCCAGTGTCGAAATGGAGACCTGTAAGTCGAGCAGCCAGTAGCCTGGCGCCAGGTGACCCGGTAGTGCCATGACCCCGAGATCACCCTCCATGTGGTTTTCATGGCCCAGACACGACTAATGGGACTGCCATCTATGCCAATCAGTTGGGGTGGTGCCAGTCCGTCATGGCAGTCCCAGGTTCGGGTCGTGTCTGGGCGTTGAGGCCATGACCTTGGTCTTTGACCAACCAAAGCTGCCCTTCCCTGGCGGTGTCTTGACCCCGGCGGTGGCCTGTGGCGAAGCCCTTGCACATCGGTTGATCCACAGCGGAGTGAAGTTCAAGATGGGCGATTGGCCGCTTGGAGGTGACACAGGTGACAGGTGACTGGGAGGGGCACACGGGCACACAGGCACAGCTTCAGGTTGGAGGCTGCAGATCAGATGTTGGGACACGTCTCCTGAGAATCCGGCTTCTGGAGGTGGTATTGCCCAGAAGTGCGAATTGAATCATTGGATTTGGGGACGTAGCACAGATGGTTTGGCCGAGCAGACCCAGTTTTCACAGTGATGCATAGTCAAGTTTGTAATGCAGTGATGCAGACCTGTGTTTTCAAGTTGGCTGATGGAGATCTCAAGAGCAAAATCCTAAATAATCTCCAACAGCTCAACTTTTTAAAGTACTAGGCACTGAATGGGTTTGAGGGAACATCTACTGCAAGAAACCCTTGTTTCACTCCCACAACTATAGAGAATTTCCTGTAGGTTTACCTCAAGCCAATTCTTGGACATGACATACCCCAAAACATTGTCTAACGGACGTGCCATTTTTTTTGCAGCAAGTCCACTTCATAAGAACTGAGGCATGGCAAGGAAGAGCTGCTTGGCTTGCATTCGCGGAGAGTCACCGGCTCAATGGTGTTACACCTTTTACCCTCTGACTCACCAACATGGAAGTGGAAAACCACCTGTTTGTAGAGCAAAAATTATATAGTAATCACTGGTTTCACCATCAATTATAGTCGCTGGTTTCCCCAATTGGATTGCAGGACATCAACTCATCACAGATAGGTCTTGACCGAGTCACTGGGCAGGGTTTTGCGAACGACGAGAGCTCAAACGCAGGTTCAATCCTCCTCCAAATCCCTGAGAAGGCAGTGTGAACTTGAGAAGCGACGTCGGTGTGGGCAGACTGTGGGCCTCTTCCGGACCAAAAAGATGTGTCGACTTGGCTGGCGTGGCGTTCTGTGCAGCTGGAGTATGATGGGCGACATTTCCGCGCAATCCCATACCTGGACCCTCCAAAGTACCTTAGAAAATGGGACATGACCCCCATACAAACAGGTACTAGTATAATACTGGTACCCATTTTCCGAGGTACGAACTGAGACTCCAGGTAATCCCAAGGACTCCAAAGACCTTCTAAGAAGGTACTTAGACCCTCCAAACCCACCCCAAGAACCTTGTCAGGATGTACTTCAGCCCTGTTCATCCACTTTCTTGCTTGAGACCCGCTTGCTTCACCACCTTGATACTTTGAAACCGGCAGGTTCTCGGTGAACCGGGTGCTTTTCAAGGAGCGAATGAGATGATCCGTGCTGAATAGACAGTGCACATCTCTGCTGAATTAGGATATGACAGTTTGCAACCCTTGGAGCCAAACCTATGCAGGGTGCATCCTCCCGCAGCATCCTCCCAACCACAAGGGTACACAACCGTCGTCGGAGAAGGGCGGTTCACCACTGTGATGCTCGTCACCAAAAATACATCTAGCGGCTGTGTTTCAAGCAATTTGGGGAACCCCCCCCATGCAGCTGGACAAAGGTTTAACAAACCATGTTCTAGGGAGAAACGGCTCAGGGCTCGGCGTCCTGGGGGGTACAGACCAAACAACTCTGTCAGAGGCGCATCTCGTGGAAGCTCAGCCTTCGACGTCGATTTCATCGTCCTGACCAGGTCGTTTGGGGGGTTGGTCCGCAGAGGATCCAGCGGGGTCTTCCAAGGCAATTAGGGAAATGCATGAGTTTAACACTTTTTAACATCAGGCCTTACTTAACCCTAGATTTCCAAGACCATTTAAAGAATGGTTGACCTGGTTTTTCTAGTGTAAAATCCTTAGTTGATTTGGTAAAGCCTATTATAAATTAATGGTTGTTGGACGCCTAGGGGTAAAGTATATATTATATAGACTATTGACATGTTATTCATGTTTATAGCAGCTAAGCTCCCACAAAGCCCACGGATGCAGTTGTGAAATGCGGAACAGGTTCAAACAGGTTCAAAAAACAACATATTATATATGATTGGGGTGGAAACGGAGAAACCATGCCCTTCAGCACCCGTACCAGGACCCTGCTATCATAAGTGTCTATACATACCCTACCAGTCCAAAGACCCAGTAAAACCTGGTCTTTTACCTCGTTAAGTATGGGTTTTATATGACCATCCCCAGTAAAATGAGGTCTTTGACTTGTAGGGATAGACTCATAGAGGTGATGTGTCCCAAAACCGCCGAACTTGATCTGATCTCCCTTCAGCCGGCCCAAGACGGTCCGGGCGGGTCCGCGTCCGATGCGGGGGCGCCATGCCACTTGGCGACGGACACTGGACACGCTACGTCGCGTTTTCTTTTCGGATTGTATCCCACTGGATCTTCCCGGTGTTTATGCTGTTTGATACATGCCGGCAGGTGGAAGAGACGCACGTTTTTGGGGGCCCCATGCTAGCTGAGCGAGTCTTTCGCGAAGCCGGGCGGTTCCAGAGACAGAGGAGTTCGAGACCAGGCTGGCTGCACAGAATCGTTCTCCTTTCTCCTCACCCTAGAAGTCCAAAGATGTCCAAAGACTGTATCCCAGACACGACCTGTCTGGGACTGCCATAGGACTGCCAACATTGGTCTCAGGGGTAAATGTAAGCAAATATATGCCATATGTGACCGACTGAAGTAAAGGAATTTCCTTGACTCGGGCCACCTAAAGACCCTGATTTTTCTATAGTCTTGAGGGTATGGATTTGTTTGGCAACAACAGGTCGACCCCGTCGAGAGCCCAACAGGGCGGACCCTTGGGTGGAATGGAACAGCTGATGCTGGACCAGGGCCTTTCATGGCATCCAAGAACCCAGCACTTTCTCACATAGAAGTTCCGCAAGTCGCCACGAGAACATGCCCAGGAAGTCCGCCCGCCTTCTTCAGGCAGATTCCTGGTTGTCTCAAGTGGTGCTACATGGTCATCACCTGGTGCGACCCGTTTTGGGGAAGTCAAGCGGAGTCATCTCAACCAGTTCAGCCAGCCATCTCAAGCAGCGGGCCCCGTGGGCCCTGCGCTTCGAAAAGCCCAGCTGAGGTCTTTCGATGGAGCTGTGGCAGGCTAGCTGCAGCCGTTGTCCGGTCAGTCTTCGTGTTGAAGATTCAGGTTGCATCCTTTGTCATCGGTCTCCAAAAGAACCGGGCTCTCAATCCTTGATCCATTACTGTAAATCAACCCAAGCTCGCAGGATGCTCAGACTCCAATTGCCATCACTGCACCCTCGCGCCTCACCTCGCGCCTCGCGCCTCATCCGACGAGGCATGGCGATCCCGGCCTTGGACCTGACCACCGCGTCGCTGACGCTTGGGGCACCGAGCGAGCGCGGGAGCACGGGAGAGCGGTCGTTTACACCGTGAGGAGGGACGGTCAGGAACGGGGATGGGGAGGGACGGCGGTCGGGTGGAGGACTGTAGACCCTATAGGCCTTTAGTACCTGTAGAGTCCGACCCGGCAAGCGCGACCTGTGGAGTCCCAACTGCTTTCTTACAGCGATGGGGTTCTTGGCCATTCCGGTTGAGACCATTACACCATAACAAACGTAGAATACGCGGGGCGAGGTGCTTGGCAAGATGAAGGAAGGGGTTGCCGGCACGCTGCAGCATCAAAGACTTGCACCTTGCCAACTGGGGGCCCCCGCCTCGCGGGGAACACCAAAAGCACCGATGACGCAGGGCAAAGAAGGTATCGGGATCGATGTCGCATCTGAATATTGTGTGACACATGTGGGGGGATCCTGAACATTCCTGAATTTTTGAACATGCCCTTTGTTCTGGTTTAAAACCCCACGATCCGGCCCTCCAAAGAATATGCCAGATGGATCTTGATTGGACTCATCGTCCAGCATTCGAGGGCTTGGTCAGCTTGACCAGCTTGGCCGACGACTGCCCCATCTCAGGATCGCTTCCATGCCGGGCTTTGATCCTTCCGCTTGGGCAGGCGGATTCGGGAGTCGTGGAGAAGGTGTTCTGAATCTTCTACAGTATACGGGAGCACGTTTTTTTCTTGGGGGAGGATAATGGCTCCATGTCGCAGCCTACCTCTACAGGAGGGTGCATGACCTGCTACAGCTACAGGCGTGGGCGCGGCGACGGCGCCGAGCGGCTCGGACCTGTCGCAGCAGCTGAAGGAAGCGCAAGCCATGGAGCCTTGGACAGGTCATCCTGCTCCGAAGTCAACCATCCCTGTTTGGGTGTCCTGGCTGGAGATCCCGGATAGTAGTATAGTCTAAGTAGTGTAGGGTAGTCCAGCCAGGACACCCAGACAGGAGGCTCTTGTAGTGACTACAGTGACTACATCCGTTCCTTAAAGAAGACTGGAACACCAAGCAGCCCAAGCAGATATGCCAAACCCATCTCTTTGGACATGATCGACCCCGGATCGACGACACCGCGCCCGAAAACGAGCCTGTCGTCCGTGGTGGTATTGAACGATGACACGAATCGCCGTGCGGTTTCTGTGGAGGATTGGTGTAGCCGTTTCGAGTCTTTAGAAGGGGGGAGATCGAGGGAAGACTGCGGAGTGTCGAAGGAAGGGGAGAATGCCTCAAAGAAAGCGCTTCCACGATGGAACCTGCTGGCCAATCGCTTCCAAACATACGGACGTCGGTTTCACCACCACCCTGGCTACCAGCGGCCGTTCCCGTTCTGCGTTCGTGGCCTGAAAGGGCCGGCCTGTCTTCGTTTTGAAGACCGGTCCACTTCCCAGACACTCCATGGGACTGCCATAGAAGCCTACATTCACCCTCCTGGCACCACCCCAATGTAGGCATATATGGCAGTCCCATGGAGTGTTTGGACTTTGTTTAAGCTTCGCTTCTCACGGTTCGCTTCGACGGCCTGTGGCCGTCTGGCCGACCCGATCCTCGGTACCGGCACGGCGCGCCGATCCGGGATCAGCTCAGGTGAGCAGCAAAGCAGCAGCTCAGAATGAGCGCTCTTCGGAGCGCAACGACAAGGCGAATGGGCTTCCCGGACTGGTTGACAGGCTCAGGCTGTTTGCAGAAAACGGCCACGGCCACGTCACCAGTGAAACGCATATGAGGCATAGAACATCATATGGAACATGGATGTACATGGTACTGTACTGGAAGGGCACATGAATTTTGTTGGACATGCACATCTCATCACTGGTGGATGCTAAAACATGACTAGGCGATGGTTTCGGATATGTTATATTCAACCCGTACTTGGGGATGAAGAAGGACCCTCTGACTCATATATGTTTCAAGTGGGTTGAAAACACCAACCAGATGAGCTCGGCTTGGAGAGCAAACCGCGAAATACAGAAGCCAGCAGTCACAAGACGGGGTGCTATCCATGGAGGTAGTCGGGGTGCCCAGCTACGTACTATCCACTCACTTGATGGGACGAGCCACACCACCCCAACTCCATGTGACTCCTGGGTGACTCCTGGAGGATGCTTCAGTGATGCTTTCCTTTTCATCCTTCCTCTCGAGCCGAGCAGAGCGAGTGCGAGCGAGGTCGATCGAAAGAAGGCGCCTGTGGCACCGCCAGGCAGGTGGTCGAAGCCGGAGCCGATTCGGTCGAGCTTGAACGGAGCGAAGCGGATGAGAGCTGATGCTCACGTAAGTGACTGGTGATGACTCATTTGGAAGGAGCAGTGAATCTTAAGGAGTCTCCCTTGAAGGCAAAACGTTTCCTCATTCCGGGTGGTTCCTAGATACTGCACCCCTTCCATCCCCTTCCCAGAGTTCATAAGAACTCCCTGATTTCAGGGCCCTGGTGTTTGGAGGGTTTCCTGTTTCCTGACGTCAGCCTCAGACAGCGGGTTTCGTGCCGTGCCGTTCAGAACACTAACCCGGCTTCGTTCGTCGGTTCTCGGCTGGGCGGGCGCCCGGCGCATCACTGCAGGAGGAGACGTGCTGCGGCTGCGTGGCCTACCCT